GAGATTTCCAGCTGAATTTCTGAGCCAAAGTATTGTTCAACAGGACCTAAACTAAAGGCAAGAGATGAAATAGGTTGGTTTTCAAGAATTCCTTGAAGTTCCCCTGTTGATATTTTTTTCTTTTTATAAAATTGACGTCGGTGACTATCTATTAGCATGATATTATTTAATTATATTTTGGCATGGTGTAAGTAATCACTTGTATGAATTTAGTTGGGGGGACATAAAATATTCTAAACAGTATGCACTACAGTGTAACTCTGTGAGAACACAGGATCTGTACCATTATTATTTGCATCTTATCATTCATACAATTCTTTAATCTTTCTTACTCCGCATCACATTCTCCTAGATACTTTCTTCAGAGTTAAAAAGTTTCATCTTCCTTTGAGATTTCCTCCAGTAACTAGAGAATAATTTTGGTAATACTTTATATCTAACTTTGTTTGGTTACTGTCGCGAATTTGAAAATAGTTTGTTCAAATATTGATCTTGAAGCATGTATATGCCTTTTTTGGAGGCAAAATCTAGCGCTTGAGAATATTTTGTTTTAAATCTTGAAACTCCAATCAATTAATCAATCGTTCCCTTTATATATGATGCCATGCCAACAAGTCGTTGCACGTGGTGTCGATCCAAAAAGAGATTATTAAAGAAGGTGTCTTGAGTAGTGACTGAAATCTTTCAAGTGTAGGTAACACTGTTTAAATGAAGTTTATTCCAGATCGTTGAAGCAGCAGTACTGAAAGCCTGATCCCCTAGCAATGTTTGCTCCTTCAGATGCCATCTTAGTAGCTGTCTACTCTCCTTGTTGACAAGAAATTACTTTCTAGGTAAAATCTGGATTTTAATAATGCATTGTTAAAATCTTTAAAGTTTGAATGATGTCTTTCTTGGTAAAATACTAGTAACCTGGATTTTACGTGTACTTTGTCCATATCCTGAAGTTTGAATAATGTATTTCTTGGCGTAACATGGTATCTGGATTTTAAGAATACGTTGCTATAAATGTTGAAGATCGAATACCATTAATGCCTTCCTTGATACACTGTAGCTTGGTAAATTTCCAGACTCAAACATTTTCTTTCTTGATATAACCTGAATTATGAGAATACTTTGTTCAAAACATGAAAGCTTGAATAATGTCTTTCTTGGTTTAACATGGCAGTTAAAAAATCAGGGTTTTGAGAATACTTTGCTGAAATCTTGAAGTTCAACCATTGAAAACGTCCTAGGCATCATCTGATTTTTTCAAATACTTACACATATACATTTGCTGCCTTTTTTAAGATATGATTAGAGGATGCCTAATTTATATCTCCAGAATCTGAAATACAAGATGTTCTGTTCATATTGCGATGCTGTAAACAATGATAGCTGAAATTTGATGATGTCTTGCCTGATTTTGAAGCTCCAAAACTACTGCAGTCAAATAATATCAACATCTTGTATATGTTCTCTATTAGTCACGATCCTTTGTACTGTAATATCAGTAACCAGTTACTTTTTTACAGGTTTAGTGGGTGCCTGTGATCCCTGTTTATTCTCCATAGGATAATACCATGAAGAAAAAGAACTTTAAATAAAAATAAATAAATAAATCCATTTTGGCACAAAAAATCTAGACGGATTAGATAACAAACCGTACTAATTATTCTTTCTAGATACTTTCTATAATAACTCTTAAGCCCCTATGTACTTCTTTAACGATTCTTGTTTTAAATTCTATTCATTTACAACACATGAAATTTATTTAGTGACTGATTGATTAATTGACTGGTCCATTCATTCATTGATTTATTTATGCTTTTATTGATCCATTCATTGAGTTGCTGATTCTCCGTCTTTTAACTATTCGTTCATTCATCCACTTTTTAATCATTGGAAATTTAATGGCGGTTGATTGATCGGTCTATGTCACACGTATGTCACAAAATAAAGAGGTGTAAAAGCAGTGCTTTGAGGGTTTTGAATGGTCACTGGAAACATCAATATTTGGTTGCAGCCCTCGGTGTTAAATCGAAAATTCACTTTGGCCTCTGACCGATTTTTATTTATGCTCACCCTATATAGTGTTAGGTAACGTATTCCACGTACTGATGTAAGTTGTAATAAACCTTAGTTTCAAACATTCATAATTTAATGTAAATCAAACAAGAAAATACATGTCACATTAATAATATTATTCTTACGTGTTTAAGCATACGATATCTAATTAAAATTAAGAAGAATGCTTATTTCCTATTGAAAGACAACCGTAAATAAATGATTTTTCATTTTTATTCCCGTGTCCCTTCCAATATGGCCGTTCTGTTTAGGAGAGAATGGTCATAAAATCTCCATTCTACTGAGTAGAAAACCAGATCAATTAATTGAGCAATGTAAGTATTTTAGTGACTGATCACAGCGGTCGAACCGGTCAAGTGACTCCTCACCTACATTCGCCTACTATCTTGTCAACATCTGTCTGAAACCAATCGAATGAACCCAAATTTAAAATTTTGAATTCTTCCGGCATGCGATGTAATTTTGCGTAGTCCATTGATGTGTTTTCATAATAATGATGTTTAAATTGTGTACCGTCCGATGATGTGTAAAACGAATAGAAACCATACAAGGAGATATCATCGCATAAAGATGCTGCCGCAGTATAGAGATAAAGACCTGATGACGGACTTGTTTTGTTCCAGAAAAAAAACACAGATGGTTATTAACATATTAGTATACTACTACTACTACTACTGCTACTACTACTACTACTACTACTGCTGCTGCTGCTGCTGCTGCTGCTGCTGCTGCTGCTGCTGCTGCTGCTGCTGCTGCTGCTGCTGCTGCTGCTACTGCTAC